TCCAGGCTGGGAGGATGCTGGCGGTTCTGTGGGTGCAGTGGCTTATTTGGGTCTGTTCCTAAAGGAAGGCGATTGCTGTCTGACAAGTGGAGCGGGTTCAGCAGAGGGCCCCTGTGATCCGGGCCCCTGTTTAAGCACTCCCTTCTCCCTCAGATAAAGCTCTTAGCTGGCTTGCAGATAAGAACCAGTCTTTGGGTTTTGGCTGTGGAAAACACAGCTGAGGTGTTCCCAGCAACAGGCTGCTTTCAGCAACTGAAGAATGAAGCTCTGTTTTTGCGTGCCAAGACTTTCTCTGTTGCGTGGCTCTTGCCTTCCTTCCAGGCTTAGTGCAAAACTCCCCTGGACTCCTCTGAATAATGCAGCTGGCTTTGCTTGCAGAGCTTGAGATTTAACCATTTCTCAGTGCTCAGGAATGGCCTCCAGTCAGATAATCTAAATCCAAGCAAAGAATCTGTGTCTTTATCCTCGGTTTTATTGGCAGACTTGAGTTACATCTGGCAGAGAGAGGCAGGAGGAGCATTTATCTTGTACTTTGGAGCTAAGAAAGCATGTAAGAAAGTTAAACTCTTCCAGATACTGTCATATAGCGAGTCTTTCGGTCAATGATTCTTTAAAGACCTTTAAAGTAAGAATTGCAATGGGCTATTCACAGCTAATGATTTGGGATCAGATTTGTGTGCAATTGAAAGATGAATGCGATTGAGGAGAGTTGAGTCTGCAGGCATATCTGGTTTCGATTTTGAATGGTTTAATCAAACTGGCATGCAAAGATGGATCTCAAGAAGCTATCTAGTTACAGTTCAAGGCCCTGTTATAAGTGTTTCAGCCCTTTTTCCTGTGATTTTTCTGTGATGCTTTTGCTCCAAGGGTGAATTTAAGGCTGCAGTAATCCCAGTTTTTACCACTTCTCTTTCTCTGTCAGGCTCAATTGCTCAGTTTAACAATAACAATTGAAGGAAACTTAATGGAGCAACTTCCCTGGGTACTGTTTCACCTCAGCCTGCCTGGGAAAATGGGTGAAAACTGCTGCAGGAACTCTCTGGGTTTTCTCTTTTCCTAATTGAATGATACGCTTTCATTAGTGATGTTAGCAACATCAGAGAAAGGCAAGAATTCGGGCCTGGGTAGCTGTAATGAGGGGAGCTGGCAGAGCTGAATGGAGTGAAACAAGTGGCTAGACCGGAATGAAGTTGAAATTATGCCCCAGAGAACTGTGACTTCACCCAAACCCGTGTGAAAGGAAGGCCTGTGGGCCTGTGTTAGAAAATACACTTGAGCTCATCGAGTCTGACTGTTAACCCGGCACTGCCAAGTCCAGCACTAAACCACAGCCCCCAGTGCCCCATCCACATGTGTTTTAAATCCCTCCAGGGATGGGGACTCCACCACTTACTTCCCTGGGCAGTCTGTTCCAGTGCTGGACAATGCTTTTGGTGGAGACATTTGATTTCTTACTGTGTAGGAACATGAAAACTCTAATGACTGGGCCTGCTTTTGTAGTAAAGGTATTTTTCTACTACTGGGTAGTTTGGGGTCTGGCCAGGCTTTGGTAGAATGGGAGTGGTTAGGGTGTTGGTGAAGCCTGGAGTGTGATTTCTGCCTCCTCCATCAGCTGTGAGTGTTGAGCAAACCCCACATCTTCTTCCTGCTGCGCCTGGAAGTCAGTGGTGTTGATGTGCCATGGGGGAGTATGTGCATAGCTGGTAGAACACAAAGGAGGCTTTCAGGCAGGCTGTGCCCCAGTGATGCAAAGTCCAACTTTTAAATATGGTTTAATTTTGAAAGCTGGAGATGAACAATAATCCTCCAGCCTTTCCTTCAGCACTGTGCTTCTAACTGTACGCAGCCCTGCTGCAGGACTTGTGCTTCTCTCTTAGTCATGGTGCTGGGCTCTGAAACTCCTCGCCTCTTCTGTGGGCAACTGATTCTCTTAAGACTTTGCCATTTACAATACATTCAAATGAGATAGCTGAAACAACAGCACCCTGATTGGATTCACGAGTGGCTTGGACAGCTAGAGCTGGCTTTGCTCCAAACCCCCACCTTGCTTTGGGCAATGAAGTGGCACCTGCCTGGAAGACGTTCTTCGTAGTAGGTTGCTTTTATCATCTGAATAACTTGATTCTGTCTCGCCTGTCCTGTTAATCAAAATCCCCACCAAGAAAAGCAGAATGTCTGACTTGTCAGAGAGGCAGTTTGACAGCTTGATTGAACTTGCTCAGGTATTCATTAAGTGCTGCTTGAGATAGCTGGGAGAATGGAAGGGAGAGACTAACAAGACTAGTTTTTAATGTGCAGAGCGTATTCTGTGCATCTCCTGGCATGAGAGGAATGCAGCTTGTTTTGGTGCACAGATGTTTCTGCAATTGCTAGAACCCAGGCAGGATACCTAGAAAGAGTCCCAGGGCTCAAAGGACCAGCACAAAACGGACCATTGCAGCTATAGTCATCAGTTTGTCTAAGATAAAACTGCCAGAAACAAAGGGCCTGAGCTTCCCTGGTTCACAGCTTGGTAAATAGTCTTTAATCCATGACTGAATTGGTGTGGCTACGTTAAAGGCAGTGTTTTCTGATGGGCTTGGAAACTGGATGCTGGAGTAAGTGCTTTGTATTTTCAATAAGCTCTGAGGATTTTTTGTTGTAAAAGCACAGCGTATGTTACTCATTAAACCTCTTTAACTCTTGAACTTGCCTTTGCCAGCAGTTTTGCTTTCTGATTATACATTCTCTTAGGGGAATGCTTTGCTCTCCAGCACGTGGTGCTGAGGAACCTGGATCCAGATGTGTGACAAGGACTCGCATTAACTACAATACGAATAACACAGGAGTGTGTTACAAAGAAATCAAGCTAATCCACCCCTATTTTTGTTCTCGCTGCCTGTGGCTTTGTCAACATCAGTAATGACTGTGTACAGAGCCCCACAAAACACAGGGATTTAAAGGCTGTCCCACTGTGCCACGTTGGGTTTCAGTGGATTCCTTAATGAGCGAGTCAGGTTCTATATATGCAAAATAATGTTTGGCTTCTAATGGCCAGATTGACATTGGAACTTCAGAGCAAAGCTTGCTTTGTGCTTCCAAAGGGCAGGTTTGGTCTCAGCAGCCAGAATTCAGCCTGACATCAGAGTCCAGCCGCATTGCTTTGCAGGGAGCAAATGTGAATGGAAATAAGAACTGCTGGTTTTCCATGTCAGCCTCGGCAAGTGTAGAGCCTGTATTTATGTAGAGCATGTGGGCAGTTTGAATGTGTAAAACTGAGCATATAGACAGGTGGTTGTAAGATCAGGCCCTGGGCACTAAAAATAAAGAACATGTCTGCAGAGGATCAAAGGGGATATTGCGGAGCGAATGGACATCATCGTTATGCATGTGCATGCTCTAAAATAAGTCCAGGCTTAAGAACTTGAGTTTAGGTTAAAAAACATCCTTTTAGTCATCTCTTTCTCAATCAGCTTTCCAAATCGGGATTCAAACCAAAGTTACATATGGCATTCCTGAGCTCTTCAGCGTGACTTCTATTTCTGTGGGTTTATTTTTGGTAGAGAGAAATCTGATATTATGACCTACATTTCCTGATTGGAGACAGTGAGGAATAATAACTCTACCTGTGATTTCTTTCATGCTTTTGCTGAAAGGCTTTGTTTTAAATACGTTTTCCAAATGCATGAGATAAGAAGGTAAGGCAGTAAGTGCAGATAGTAATTAGAAATACTCTCGTGTTCTTCAGGATCATTTAATGAGGTGTTCTGCTCCTGGTGCTATGAATCATCTTTGCTCTTGATCCGTACGGGATTTGTTGTACACTGGTCTGATGTGACCAAGCTGCCAGACTTTTCAAGTGCAAACGTTGATGCTGTTTAGGTCATACTTTGGTCTATCAGGTGTTGCCTATCATTAGTTCTGGGTTTCATTTCATTAGCCCTACATGTCATGTAGGGACAGGACAAGGGGGGAACGGCTTGAATCTGCCCGAGGGGAGACTGAGCTGAGCTCTTAGGCAGAAGCTCTTCCCTGTGAGGGTGCTGAGGCACTGGCACAGGGTGCCCAGAGAAGCTGTGGCTGCCCCATCCCTGGCAGTGCTCAAGGCCAGGTTGGACACAGGGGCTTGGAGCAAGCTGCTCCAGTGGAAGGGGTCCCTGCCCATGGCAGGGATTGGAGCTGGAGGAGCTTTAAGGTCCCTTCAGCCTGATCCATTCCATAATTAAAACCTTGAGTTATTACTCTCTGAGCAGCATCTCGCCATCTCCTCTTTTCAAAACCACCCTCAGGAGTTGTAAACACACTGCCATGCATCTTCCCAGAGCTCCAGCCAGTGAGGTCTGGCATTACAGATGCCCAGGTGTGTTTGTCCTGCTTTGGATTGAGCATGCACGGGTCACGCATAGCTTCCCCATCACAAACTGGTCATGCACGAATACAGACACGGCTGCTCAGGCTCTGCCTCAGTATCTCTGCTGCAAGCACAGGGGTTTGGGAGTGAAGTCTGGCACTGATTTCTGACAGTGATGTCGGGGGGGAAAAATAGGTCAGCAAGAATGAAAGGTGCTGACAAGCATAAAATAGCTAGAGATTGTTAAAGAGGAAAAACCAGTCTGAAGACAGCGTTTCCAGGTAAGCAAGCCGTTGTGCCTGTGGTTTCCCAGGCAGCCGAGGAGGGTGAAATAACAGGAAGACACGAGCAGGCTGTGGCAGAACTGGGGAGCAGTTTGGGAATCTGGATTTCCTAACACTGCATTCCTTGAAAGGACACTGAGCAAAGGGAATCGCGGCTGTGTGAGCAGGCCTGTTGCTTGGAAAACTGCTTTTTGGAGTTACACACCCCAGTTGTGAGTAGGTTGAGGATGCGGAGAGGGCACCTTTCTGTGCAGCGCCAGTTAGTCGAACTTCAGCTCTTCATTTCTGTGATGTAAGGATGAAAAACTGCATCACAGAAAGCAGGGCTGCTGGGGAGTCAGACACTGAAGTGGCAGCCAAGGTTAGGCTGATGTTGACTTTCATGAGGCAAGTGGGAACAGGTATCACAGCAAGAAACATGTGCAAACTGCCCTGATTCACCACCTGCGAGCACGTGTGCAGTGCAGCTGTGAGGAAAGGGACTTCGGAACCACTGATGTGCTGCTCTCAGGCAAATCACTGGCATCATCAAAACAGCCCTTATGGCACGTGTGAGGCGTTGGGTTGACCTCTTCCCTAGAATAAGCTCCGGTTGCTGCTGGCAGGCTCTCAGGACCTGCTGCTCTCACTGTTCTTTCCATTTTCCAAGGCTGGGTTTTAAGTTTCTGCCTGACTTCTCCAGTATCTGGATGCTCAGCAGTGAGTCTGAGCAGCAGCCAAAAGCCTCAGTGTAAGCAGTGCAGAAGGGCAGAGCAGGATCTGATTCTTCTCTCCAGAAATGATGGCTGTTTTGATGTAACTTGCACATGAGTTCCTTGTGGCTGAAAAGAGTTCTTACATAGCATCAAAGTACCCCCCCACACATAAACTTGCACCTTAAAGGAAGGAGATGGCACTAGAATCTTGAAAATGCTCTTCATCTGGGAGCTTGGGAGAGGGCTTCTCCCACTGAAAATGGCTCTGGAAGTAGGTGGCTCCTCCTTCCCGTACAAGCATTTTATTCCCTATTTTAACACTAACTCTGTTCTTGTTTTCAATGTAGGAGCCGTAGCTCTTCTGCCCACTTGTAAGTGCAACTGGTATGGGTAATGGTGTGAGAGAAGGTCGAGTGGATTTCCAGCGGCAGGATGTGGAGCCGGTTCCATCAACCCATCTGCCACCAGAGGTAAGGGCAGGAGGTTGTTAGGTGTGAGAGAAGAGCTGCGTGGCTGTGGTCTGAAGGGAGGATCTCAGTGGGATTTGAGTCCTGAAGGAGTTGCAGTGTACGTGCAAGCCACCGAAAGTGTGACTTTTGCTCTCTCTGAGCCCAGCCAAGCAATTCCAGCCCTCTGGGAAGAGCTGGCAGGCAGGCAGGGCTGTGTTCATGGGTCAAGGTTATGTCTTGTTACATCCTTAGTGGCAGAGCTGGGAAGGGAGGCATAAGCCTGGCTTTCCCTGCTCTTGCTAGACTCTAGCTAGCAACACTGGGAGAGAAGGTGACGCTGAACCTTGGTCTGATTTAGGCTAAAACTCAGGCTGAAGTTCACACATGCCTTTGCATGGCTGCCCTTGTGTTTAGCACCAGACAGGCAGAGATTGGAAGGGAAAATCGAACTGAACCATGTCTTTTGGTAATAAACATTAACTTTCTAGTTGTGAAACATTCTGAAGAAAGAAAAATGTGGACTCCTCCACCCAAATACACGACATATCACAAGTTCACATTCTTAAGTCTTTTCTCAACTTGTCTTACAGTCTCTAACCTTCACGGTGTTAGATTTCAAGTCATTTACTTGCTTTCTGCCCATGTGTTAGGAGAAGATAGCAGCTTTATAAGTAGGAGCTGTGGCAGGAATGTCAATAACAAACCACTGCCATTCCATTTATCATAGTAGGAAACCTGTCATAGTTTATTCTGAGGATCTTGAGAAGTGTGGAAATGGGGCGTGTGTGTTAGTGGAAGGGTTGGAAAGACGCTTTCCTTCTTTCCATGCCTAAATCACGAGGAGGTAGCAGCTTAGCTTTTGGAGATCTCAGCAGGGATGTCCTGGCTTCTGCTATACGACAGCAGTACAAGAGATGACAGCCCTTGGAACATTCCACCTCAGCAGACAGGTCCAACCTTTGTGCTTCATGAGCTGACCAGGACTTTACCTGGCTTGAAATTTTGAAGAGAATTAGGACCCAAGCCTTTGAGAGGGGGGTAAATGCTGTAGCAAAAGTAAAATCTCACAGCTTTTGCTTAGGCTTGACTGTGTCACACTGAACAATGCCTTGTTCCAGGAAGCCCGGGAGAAGAAGAAAGTGCTCAACTCCCTGATGTCTGGTGCATTGGCTGGTGCTGTTGCTAAAACTGCAGTAGCTCCACTGGACAGGACAAAAATCATGTTTCAAGGTGAGTCCTGATGGCTTTTGCAGAACGCTCTTCCTTTATTGTCAGCAGAATCCAAGAGAGCTCCTCTGACCTGCTCAGCCTATTCCCTGGTGCTTTGCCCTCCTTCAGGCTGCAGAGACCTGGCAGGATGCAGACATAATAGTGACATTACCACAGTAAATTGAGTCTAAAAAGCTACTGCTTGGTTCTTGCTAGGATTACTGCAGGTGTCAGTCAGCTCTGTGTCTGGCCCATCCTGCTGGATCCAAGTCTCATGGTAGTCATCAGGAGTTTTGCTCTTTCAGGGTAACACAGATGCATGTGCTGCTGCTTAGTGATGGTGCCAGTGGCTCTTGGATGTCGGCTGGCCTCATGTTCTTCTACATCAGGGAGGCTTTTGGAGCACAGAGTTTATAGACAGTGTAAAATCAGTGAATGAGGCGTGATTGGTAACACTCTGGGTGTCTGTGTCTGTTCAGCTTGGAGAAATAAGGTGGGGAGGGGCCAGGAGCAGTAGAAGGAGATGGGGTGACACTGGAGGGAGGTAATTGAGCTGTTTGAGTTTCTTGCTGAAGGCTGAATGCCAGGCTCTGCCTGCTCAAATGTATGCAAGCTTTTCTACTAAGAGGTGCATTGGATTGCAGCTGAGTTGTTTTTGGTTAGAGGTGAACTTAATGAGGAGAAGCACTGCACAGGCATTCAGGCTGGCATACCTGGCTTTGTGTTACAAAGCCCTTTCTGGAACCCACAAAGTGTGTCACTGCAAATGAAATGCATCTAATTGGAATAGAAAATTCTCACGTGTTTTGTGGGATTTGGGATTCAGCCCCATCATGGGCTCTGCTCAGTTCCCTGTTGCAGTGCAGGATCTGTCAGCCACACTAATTGTCCCAAAGGGAAGAGTGCAGTCTGTTAATACAGTAGACACTTGGTGAAGCCAGGAATTTTAAATCTGGTTGACATCCCAGATTAAATGAATTGGGTAGGTTTTAATCTAATCCCTGGATGACATTTAATTTTGAATTGACTTTCATTTGACATGGTTTTCATCCTCCACGTAGCCGAGGCTGAGGTTTGGAATAGCAGGGATAGAGATCAGGGAGTCGAAGCTGTAGAGGGCTAAAGCCTGGGCTGGCTGCAGGCTGGGATTGCATCTGTGACCAGATGCTTGGGCAGCAGCGAGTACGTGCTGTGCTTCCTCATCAGAACAAACACTGTAGTTCATCTGAGGTTGGAAATGGATCAGAGGTGAGATGGAAGCTGCAGAACTGGGGTGAGTCAACAGCTGTCCATATAAATCACCTTTAATTTGCACAGGGCCTGCATTTATAGAAAGACCTGTTTGGTTTGGCCCGTTAACCTCACTGCAGAGGAGAAGATTAAAATGTGCCCTGTCTGACCAATTCCTTAGCATCTAATGGGTTTCTTAATTTCTTGCTTTCCTAAAGGATTTTATTCTGGGGCCTCTTCCCTGCCTGTGAAGAGGGAAAGCATCTTGGGCCATGCCAGTGTAGGAAGGTTGTCCCTTGAACTAGGGACTGTAGAATTCTCCTGTGGGAGAGGGAAAACGGCTCTGTTCCGTTGTGGGGCCAGTTGCGATTGGTTATTGAGGTGGTGGTGTTATTAAAAACATTGAATTGCAGAAAGGAGCAGCGTGGTGAAAGCGTATTTGCATGGGATGCTTGATACACTTGAGAGGTTACAAGTCTCAAACGAGTTTGAAAGCATCTGCAATAGACACGTAATTGGAACCATGTTTCATTAGTGCTGCTGCTCGCGTTTTAGCCTGGGCTTCCTTCCTGCGGGAGGAGTGTTACAAAACAGAGCTGCTGGATGCCAGAGAAATGCTGCTTCCAAATGCCTGGTGTGTTACATGGCTAAAGAGATGCTCTCAGTTTGAATGGAGGCAAGAAAAGAACCCCAGTGTTGAGTTTTGCTGGGATGGAACCATTTCTGCGTGGAGCCTCCCTAAACAGACCAGTTCTTTGCTGGATTCTTGCATTAGACTGGAACCAGGGCATGGGAATGCTTGGCTAAAAGAAATGGTCACTGCTACTCTGATTTTTATGTGTTAATTTTTTGGTGTACTCATTTATTTTTAGTGCTTGAAGTGTGGCACAAACTGAGCATTGTCATAACAGTAGGTTCAAAAATGTATGGATGGGCTAAAGAATTGGGGAGTGCTTACAGTGGAAAGTCATTGTTTATTATAAAGAATCTCTATTTCCTTTTGCATTAATTCTTTTGCTTCTATTTTTATTCCTTAGATAAAACGCCTGTATGCTTTATTTGATCCATCTAAATGTATTGCAAGACCTAATGCTCATTTTTTCTTTTTAGTGTCTTCAAAAAGATTTTCTGCCAAGGTGAGGTGATGTGTCTGTCTCCTGTTGACCTGAAGGGTTTGAGTAATGGTAGTAATAGCCCTAACAGCCGCTTTTGTTTGTATTTATTCCCCTTTCTTGCTTGGCTCTTAGTAGCAGCACTCACAGTGAAAGAGCACAGAGGGAAAAGCTGGAAATGATATTTGTAATAGTCCTGAGGCCAGTGCTCTCTTATGTTCATGTTTAGTCCAGTGCCTCGCACAGAGGGGCCTGGTTCCTCCTTCATGCTCCAGGTTCTACCTGTGCCTTTGGTTTGTCAGCCCTTCTCCTGTCGTGGCTGCTCTCTTTCCCCCAGCCCCCACTGGGGCTGTTGCCAAGTGTGGAGGGACTTTGAATTTAGGAGCTGATCGCTATCATGGCTTGCTGAATGTTTCATGCATGCACGTTTCAGCTGTCCCATGTGTGCTGTGCTCATAGGCGTCATCCAAATGGTTCTGTGTTTTACCAAGGGGATTAATTTGGGTTGAGAAGAGGTTTGCACAAGCAGCACTCCAGCTCTGTGCCTTGCCTGTGGAGAGAAAATGAAGACATCTTGAACCTAAACCTCTTGTCTTCATGACTGGTTCTTTTTTGCTTTCATGTATCTGCTGCAGGCTCCCTAGAGAAGATGTTTTAGTTGCAAACACAAACAGCTGATACCAGCTTACCGTGGTTGGGGTGGGAAGGAGGATTTGGAGAGGTTAAGCTGTAGGGTCACCTTTTCTTCCACTATTGTTTGGTCTCCTCCTTATCATGATCTCCCTTGTCTGACCTTTGATCCATTGCCTGCAGGAAGCCTACAGGCTGATTTATCGCACCTACCTCAATGAAGGCCTCTGGAGTCTCTGGAGGGGGAACTCAGCCACTATGGTCCGTGTGATCCCTTATGCTGCCATTCAGTTCTGTGCACATGAAGAGTACAAGCAGCTCCTGGGGAGTTACTACGGCTTCCAGGGAAAGTAAGATGCAGCGTGGCTTTGATCCTGGCTGAGCAGGATGGAGCAGTCTGTGGGCCCATAGACTGGAGGCAGGGAGGGAGGGAGCACATTGCTCAGTTGAAAGCTGTTTAGACAGAGTTATGCTGCCCCCCCCATGTTGGCTTTGCAGAACAGGGTGTGTGTGAGGGGCCTGAGCAAAGGGCTGGGCTTCTAGCCTTGCACAGGGGAGATCTTTGTGAGAAGAAGACCCTATCTTCTAGAGGCGTGAGCAAGAAGTGGCCTAGACATTGAGTTAGTGCTTCCCTGTGCTGAGAGTGGGCAGACAAAACAAAAAGAGCTTTTCTTTGCAGGAGAAGCAACAAGAATTCAGCCTTGCGCTGCTGAGCCATGTGCATGGCCTCAGTCTCTTGCTTTTGGGCATGTAATGTCTGAGACACCTCAAGTCAGGCTTTTTGTCCTCAACAAAGATACTCTCTAAGCCTCTGTCTTGCTGTCTGTGGCAAACCACAGCTGCTTCATCCCCAACCCACCCAACTCTCTTCAGTGAGCAGGCAGGGAAGGGATTCGGTAGCAGGTAGAGTAGAGCCCTGCTCAAAAGCCACGTAGTATTTCCATCTCCAGGTGATCTGTTTGGTCTCTTCTCTCACCTTACTTTAGAGCGCTGACACCCTTTCCTCGATTCATTGCTGGCTCTCTGGCAGGCACAACGGCTGCCATGTTAACCTACCCTTTGGATATGGTCCGTGCTCGAATGGCTGTCACGCCGAAGGAGATGTAAGTGCCTAACGAAAGCAAGTACAAGCACCACGAACAATTGCAGCACTTTCTTTTAAGGTCAGATGACTTTATTCCCATTTTCTGGGTCACTTCTTGCTCAGAGCCTTTGGTGTAATAAACCTCTTACTGCTGGGGTCTGAGCACTGATTAAATGACCAGAGCCCTGGTTAGTCCAGGGACTGGAAGGAGATCGATACTAAAAGACCTCACAAGGTGGGGGGGAATTCTTTAGGAGGCCAACTGGCACGATACCTCCGGAAGAGCTCCAGCAGATAGGGCAGCATGTTGTGATAGGGCTATGGGAGAGCTGGTGACAGGCTTCTCCATTTGCAGACAGGCTTCTGAAATCCCTTCTGAGCTGTTGGATGAGCTCAGAGCCCAGAATTAATTAATTGTTGATCCTTCAGAAAGTCCTGTTGGAAATACCCCTGGTGTGTGCAGTCACTAACCAGCGCAGGTTTGCTTTTCCTGTGTCCACGTGCTAGGTACAGCAATATTGTTCATGTCTTCATCCGAATATCCCGAGAGGAAGGATTGAAGACACTGTACAGGGGATTTACACCAACCATCATTGGAGTGATTCCGTATGCTGGGCTTAGCTTCTTCACCTACGAGACGCTGAAGAAACTACATGCAGGTAAAGGCAACTTGCTCTGCTTTCAAGTGAAATGCTGTAGGCTTTTGGCCAATTTGAGATGTTTGAACTCTGTGGTACAAGGCCTTTTGCACTGTGAAGCCTATTGCAAAGTTCTAGAATCATAGAATAGCTTGGGTTGGAAGGGACCTTCAGAGGTCATCTAGTCCAGCCTCCCTGCAATGAGCAGGGACATCTTCAGTGGATCAGGTTGCCCAGAACAACGTGGAGCTTTGTGCCTTCATCTTTCCACTTCCAGACTATGAAGAAGGCAAGCTGCAGAAAAGCAGTATCTGTCTTGCAGAGGAGCAAGAGGGTTCCATACCAAGTCGGCTAACCAGTCCCAGGAGCTCTGGCACTCAGTGCTCTCTTTGGCTCTCCACTCACTTGACCCTAACCATGTGTTTTCTAAGAAGCTCTCTAAATGCTGCTCCTTTCTCTTTCCCAGATCACAGTGGGAAGCTGCAGCCATCCCCCCCGGAGCGCCTCTTGTTTGGTGCCTGTGCAGGTTTGATTGGCCAGTCAGCATCGTACCCCCTGGACGTGGTTCGCCGGCGGATGCAGACGGCGGGGGTCATGGGACACACGTACAGTTCCATCCTTCTCACCATGCAGGAGATTATAAGAGAAGAGGGACTAATCCGTGGCTTGTACAAAGGACTCAGCATGAACTGGGTCAAAGGGCCAATTGCAGTGGGAATAAGCTTCACAACCTTTGACCTGATGCAGATCCTTCTCCGTAAATTACAGCACGGCTCTAATGTTGAAAGGTAGTAGCTTAATCCCCACAGCCCTTGCTGGGGAAAAGTACAACACGTGTAGAAAGAGCAATGCTAGCCTTCCCTCACCTCGTACCTGCTCTCCTGCAGCTGAGAACTCACCTTTACTTGTTTGTTATTTTCTGTTGTTGGATTTTCTTCTTTTTAATGAGCCTCTTGAGTTACTTGGAAACCTCAACCTGAAACTAATGCTTTCCTAAGCAAACTTCTTCCTAGAATTCTGCAGAACCGAGTCCTCTGCAGTAGCTGCCTCACCCTTCTGGTTTACTCTCTGATACCAGGAGTGGAGCCTCTCAAACAAAACCATGCTGCTGCTGGCTCCTCACCTGGGTCTCTGTGGGCAGACGAAGCGGTGCATGATGAAAGAGAGGACTCGGTGCTGGTGGAATGAAGCCCTGAATCTGGGAAGTGACTGCTGTTCCCGGTAGGCAGTTCTTAGTTATTGAACATGTGTTAGCTGGTGGCAGTCTGCCAAGTGCAATATTCCAGTTTGTCTGTAGGGAATTCCAGATTCCTCTGACCTGCAAACATGAGTCTCCATAAAACAGGACGCAGCAGGATTTAACAGGTCCAGGTCACTTCCAAAGTATGAGAAGTTGAATGTGGGCTCTGGCTGGAAACACTATCCTTTTTCAAACGTTCTCATTTCTGGGTTGAGTTGCATAAAGTATCTCTTGCTCCAGCATCCCTCTGAGATTACCAAAGACAGAGGCCAGCAGGAGAGGGAAATTCGGAGCAGTTTTAGAAATCAAATCCTCATGTTTGTTGTCAGTGTTGAGGAGGGGCTGTGCCTGGATTCACAGATTGGATTGAATTGACTTGCAGTAGTGCTTTTGGGCTCCCCAAACCTTTCTGTTGTGGTTATGGTCTTAAAGGCAGCGTTTTCTGAGGGATTTGGCAAACCATAATGTTGATGCACTAGAAAAGGAAGTGTTACAGACTTGAAATTTCAGCAGTTTTATCCTCCAGTATTACTGCTGCTGCTTTATGCAAGAACAAACGTCAGGGAGATGCAGATCCAGCGATCCTGAGAGGCTCTTCACGGCCGGTGAACGTGGCCTGGCAGTTGGCTCGAGCTGCTGGTCCTGCTTCTGAACAACTTTGCTGTCTCATGGTGCCTGCTGTGTAGGTTGTGTCCCCCCTGTTCATTAGTCCACACCTAAGCCCGCTTGTTTTTATTCCTGGAGTTCTTCTGGACCACCTGGGTCCTTGGGAGAATGGGGGTACCCAAGCCAGTATTGACCCTTCAGAAATGATAACCCAGTGCCAATCATTTCCAGCTGCAATCTGAAAATGAATGGTAAAGAACCTTCCAGTGTTTCTATTTGAGATCAGTTTTCAGGGAAAGGGCGAATTCGGGGGGTGGGTTTGGTTTATGTTCCATTCCTAGCTGAAATATGGAGTGTAACAAAGGTCACAGCAAACTTCAGACTTCTCCGAGAATCAGATGACATAAGCTAAGATTAAAAATCCCTTTCCAGCTGATACAGCCCACAATGTATTAAAGAAGACTGAGGTGTCATTTAGAAGCTCTCCTTTTCTGGTGTATTTTAGCTGTTGTAGTTTGAGCCTTGTGTCTTTATTAATGGGACTGGAGGTAATTGCACAATTGGTAGAAGTAGCTTTCTCCTTCCTTTTGCATTTGCACTTGTTCTTTGGAGCATAACTTGCTTCTAATGCCAAATATTTCCCCAGGAATCGAGCACCTACACTTCCAGTTTGTGGACGTGGCAGAAAACCAGTGTACTGAAGTATTAGCATGCGTGGTGCTCCCAGAACACGTGGGATCAATCACGCTGTAATGCTCATGGATAAGCAGGGTATTAACCTCAGTGATTTCTGCCTCCAAGCCCACAGATGATGATTGCTGTTGTGAAACTGCAGTCGCTGATTTACCTTGTGATTAATGTCAGGTGTTGCTGTTTTCGGAGTCTTTAGGGACAATAGCCATGAAGTCTGAACAGTTTCTGCTCCCATTGCTAGGGGAAGGTGATCAGCTGTTCTCTTTGGGTGAAGTTTTGTTTAGTCCTGTGCAAGAGCTCTCATTTCTTTTCTCCAATGGAGAAGCCAGTTACTTCTGCTCTTGTGTTTATGCTGTCTGGCCCAGTGAGGAAATCCTGAGGCAGTTGTATCACACCACAAAAGGGAGGTACAGACCAGCAACCGGGTGTGCCAGCGGTTGACTCTGCATGTGGATGTGTCTGACTGCATGCACAATCCATGCCAAGCTCTCTCTCAGCTTGGGGGCTGCTGGTTCAAAGCACAGTCCTTCCTGCCCAGCTGATGGGTATTATATGAAGACAAGAGGAAGGTGAACTGTGGCATCCAAGCTGGAGCGAGCTCCTTTGCTCCACGGTATGGTAGGTCATCTCAGAGGCAAGTGCAGCAGTGCTTGTTGTAAGAGATGAAGAGCATCACTGAACCTCTGTGGCAACAGAGGTGGCTTAATTCCTCCTGGGTCCTGACAGAGGAAGGATTTACACTGGATGACTTGCCTCTTGTTTGGGACTGAACGGGAGGGCAGATCTGCACGAGGTACCTTCTGCTGTGTCAGGAGTACATGAAATGAACAGGGGCCTGTGGAGGAGGCAGCTCCTGCTGAGCCCAGCATCACCCACCATGGTGCAGGCAGCTCATCGAGAGCCTGGGGACTCTCAGCTGAGAAACAAGACCTGAAGCACAGCCAGGCTTGAAGCATTGGGCTCAGTTGTTCCTGAATGAGCCCCTGATTTTGATTCAGTGGAGTCTTAGCCAAACACGTTTGCCCAAGTTCTGCAGGCTGAATGGTGGTTCAGAGGCACATCTCTGAATTCAGTCTGTGGTGGGTTTGGTGCTTTTGTTTCTTGGGAAGGAGTGTTCAGAGTAACTGTGTGTTACTGTACTGGGTTCTTTCAAATAGTGTTGGTTTGGTTTTACTTCTATGTTCCCTCTCTGATTTGAATGTAGGAAAGGAGGAACAGAGTGTTCCCTTCCTCTCTCCTAATCCCTGCATGAATGTTCCACATCTCTCTGCTGCCTCAATGAGGGCCTGGGGAGTTTTGGGCATGCTGATTTGGAAAGGGGGGGGTGTGCTGGCCAGGAAGATCCATTGCCTTTTGCTCTGAGGGAAGTCTAACAGGAATATTCTCTAATTGTTCTCTTTAGAACTTCTTTATTACCACAAATTCCCTCATGTTTCATTTTATTCTTGAGTACCTTGCTTTTATTTCCAAGTCATGTTTCTCTTTGTTCCTTAATGTGTTACTGCCAAACATTAACTTGTGCGTTTATTGTCCCCCCTCTGCTCTCCTTCCCTCCCTGCTTCTGCACCTTTAGTCCCGCACGAGCACTTGGAGAAAATCAGGTCCAATGAAATGCATCCAAAATGACAAATTGCAGCTTTGATGATGATGCCCAAACAGCCCAGCTCAGCTTCCCCCTCCCAGGCAAGGGATGCTTGCCTGGGGAGACAAGAAGTCAAAGGCACAAAGTGATGGGATCTTGAGCTCCTGGTCCAGCCCCAGCGCCTTCGCTTTCCCTTAGCACCTTCCCTTAGCACAAGCTGGGAAATGCTGCTGCTCCTTCATGTTCCCTCTCTCGGTACCTCCAGTGATGCCCACGTGCTCTGTGGAAGTGGCTGCTTGCTGGGTACGGGTTTTGGGGAGAGCTCATCCTTCTGGGGGGCTCCAAGGGTCACTTGGGGAGCTTGGATGTGTGAGGGGTGGGATCTGAGCTGGCTTCTTGCGAGCCTCTTTGCCCTGTGCAGACCCCTGCCAGCGCCCCAGGAAGCCAGAGCTGCCCATGAGCTGGCTGCTGGTTGGCAGGATGGAGAGAGGAACTGCAGCCTCCTGGGGTATAAAGTCACCGGGAGCCATGAGCTGGGTTGTGTGGTGGAGCTTTGGTACTCGGGGGGTGCTCTCCAAAAGCAGCTACATAGCTTGTGTTAAGCCAGTGGTACGTTGTGAACTTCTTGCCCCCTTCTGCCTAGGACTGCAGTCTGCACCCTTCAGTGTCCTTAGCACAGGAGCAGATGAGGCATGAAACAGAGCTTGAGCACTGTGGCAACGCCAAGTGAGTCTGGTGCCAGCCTTGGGCGGGCAGGAGGAGGGGGGAATGCAGTGGGACACTTCCCACATCAGTTCCTCAGTGCCTGGCTGGGTCCTTGAGCCCTGCAGAGAGCCAGGGCTGATGTTATGGACCCTCCTTACCTGGGCCACAGGAGGAGGTGGCCTTCCTATGGAGCAGCCTGGCTTTCTTCTTGTAGGGGCTGATTCCTCCCCTTCTCCCCATGTGAGGCAGGTTTCCCAGCGCTGCTCACTGTGTGGTCTATGCATATATCAGCACAAACACTCTTCCATTGCCTTTTGTCCTCGCCATCCCTGCGTGTGTGTGAGCGTGTGGGTCGATTTTGACTGCTTTTTCTTGGATCTGGAGTTCTATTTTATTGCAGTGAAGACACTTTGTTATATGATGTTTATATATTTGAAGATTTGTGCCAAGAGAGGATGTATATTTAATAAAAAATATATCATTGACTTGGTGGGCTCCTGGGGGATGGCTCTCTCCTATTGTGCGGGGCTGGGGCTGGCACATCCGGCTGGATTTGAGGGGTGCCTGGGGCAAACAGAGGGGAGCAGCTTGTGGGTTTCCCTGTGCCCCCCACCGCACATGGAGCCGGTCTCTGCTTTGGGAAGTGGGGAGCTCGGAGGGGGCTCAGGCGCTGTCCCTGCAGCAGGGGATGGGGATGGGGACGGGTGCGCGGTGGCAGCAGGTGGCACTGTCGGCTCAGCCATAGCCCGGTGCCTTCCCCCACGTTGGGGACCCCCCCCCCTCGTTCCCCGGCTGCTGCTCGGCTCTTGGGGCTTCCCCTGCTTCCTGCTGCGCTTCGTGTCCGCTGTGGATGCGGTGCTGCGGGGCTGGAAGGTCCCAGCCCTCCCGCAGGAACCTGCCCACAGCCCCAGGCTGGTTTGGGTTGGAAGGGACCTTAAAGCTCCTCCAGCTCCAACCCCTGCTATAGGGACCCCTTCCACTGGAGCAGCTTGCTCCAAGCCCCTGTGTCCAACCTGGCCTTGAGCACTGCCAGGGATGGGGCAGCCACAGCTTCTCTGGGCACCCTGTGCCAGCGCCTCAGCACCCTCACAGGGAAGAGCTTCTGCCTAAGAGCTCAGCTCAGTCTCCCCTTGGGCAGGTTCAAGCCAGTTTAAAGCCAGATGTTGCTGCTCCAAGCAGGAAGAGCTCTGCAGGATGCAGGCAGTGATGGGGCCAAGGGCATCTCCTTGAGGGGAGGTGGAGATCCCCCTGCTCCCTCCCTGCCCGGGCACACAGGATGAGCTCTGGGAGCTCACCATGTGCAGGAGCCAAAGGTGCTGCAGGGCTCGGCATGGGTCACCCCAAGAAACCCTGGGGCCCATCCAAACCCTGGTGCAAAGCCTCTGTAGCAGCACAGCCTCGTGGTTGTGGCGCTTGCAGGGCCCAACCTGCCCCATGCTCTAAATAAAGCAAAGATGCAAAGAGCAAAAACAGTCCTGGGCAGGGGAAGATGAGGGGGGGCCTTTCCCTGCGGTTGATGTGTTCCAATCGCAGTGCCTGTGGCTCTGTCTCCTGCTCTTGCCCAGTCTATCAGTCATTGTCCCTGCCTGAGAGGGTCACGTCTGGGCAGGTCTCTGGGGAGGAACTGTCTGCGTGTCTGCATGCAGCACAACCCCAGGCCCTAGCAACCGTCCTGCTGCTCTGCCCGGCCACATGCTGAAGGAGGATGAGATAAATGAGCCATCAAGGCAGCGGGGCTGGCTTTAATGGGACACTGTGGGCTGGAGCCAGTCCCCTTCATCCCAGCCTGGGGGCAATTGCTTCCTCCTTGCACCTTTCCACCCGTGGGTCGCTGGCAGTGCTGCTGGAGCCACATTGCTCCTGGCCCCGTGCTGCTCAGTGATGATGCTCAATGGTAGTGCTCAATGGTGCTGCTCAGTGATGCTGCTCAGTGGTGCTGCTGCTCTGGGCTCCAACTGGTGGCAAAAAGGGATTTTCCCCACCATTTTCAGCCAAAAAAGGGCTTTTACTGGGTCTACATCTTGGGAACTGGGGAAGCAGGCGGAGGAGGTGGTGGGATTAGCCCCGTTAACACCGGGCAGAGAGCTGCCTTCTCACCCCAGCCCTTAGCGAAAGGGAATTAAGGCCATTACAAGGCTATCAAATAGGATCAGAGCCCCTCTCCCTTTCTCTGAGCAGCCCAGACCTGTTAATCCTTTTTCATGCAGCTGGACCTGCACCCATGGAGCGGTGGGGAAGCCGGAACAGGCACGGAGCTGGGCTCTGATGAGGTGGGCTGCATGGTGTGGTCAAGCATCGACCTCTTCCCCTTGCTGCAATAACACATCTGGGGCGTTCCTGCTCAGCCACCCAAAGGCCCTCGCACCGTGGGACCCCTGCCCTGCTCGAGGGGCTCAGGGCTGCAAAGTGCCAACAAAGCAGCAGATTTTAGCCTGGCAAAGAAGTCTCTGGGTTACTTCTTTATTCCTAAACCAGCCTGAGGCTTTCACACAGAGCAAAGGATGACCCAAGGAGCTCCAGCCCTGCAGGCCAGAGCACTGACCCTACAAATACACTCCCCCCCAGCCAATGGAGGCGGACGGGCAGCAGAGCAAACACCAAAGTCCATCCTGGCACAAGCTGCTGCTCCACCATGCGATGCCCATGGAGCCCTCTGCCCAGCACGTAATGCCCAGGGCTGGCAGGAACCGCTGCGTCAAGGGGAGCACAGCAGCAGAACTGTCCCCAGGTCGGGTCAGAGCAGGCAGCAGCAAACCCAGCTCCAGGGCTTGGCTCCTCCATCACCACCCGGGGCCAGGGAAGGGGAGAGGGGCTGGAGGGACCCGGAGCAGGCACGGTGGTGGTCGGTGGCAGGAGCAGGCGATGCTCACGCTGGCCCCGAGGTGTAAACCCCATCACTCCAAGCGCCGGCAGCAGAACCATCCCCATTGTGTGCAGGGGGAAGCCAGCCGAGGCAGGAGCAAAGGGACCAGCACCCCGGCACCACCGGCACCCCCCGGGCTCCCCCAGTCAGGAGGCTGCCAGGTACCGGTGGAAGTAGAGGCCGAAGAGGCTGGTGACAACCTGGCAGGCGGCCACCCACCACGTGAGGAAGGCGAAGAGCCCGCGGAAGAAGAGGGGGGTGAAGATGCCGCCCAGGACGGCCGTGACCTGCTCCACCGCGGCACGCACGTCCTCAGCACCGGGGCGCCGCGGGGCTACCGCCACTGCCGCGGGCACGGGAGGGGGCTCCGGGTACAGCCCCCACGAGTGGTGCCCTGGGGGACAGAGGGGACAGCGCTGCGGCCGGTGGCTGCGCCCCAGCACACTCGCTGCATGCGTTATGTTCATGCCAGCTGCAAACCATGGTCTGAGAGCATAGGGATGCCGATGGCTTGAGGATGACTTCTAGGTCTCATCCTGCCCCTCCTAAGCCCCCCCATGTTCCCACATCCCACCATGTCCTTACCCAGCGTCTTGAGGAGCAGCGTGCAGTGGAAGGTGAGGATGATGGGTCCCAGGTACTGCAGGCTGACCACGGAGACGTAGCAGTAAATCCTTGTGATCTGTGGGCAGTGGGGATCAGCGGGGGGCCGGTGGCAGGACCCCGCTCCCAGCCCAGCTCCCACAGGCAGACCTTGCGCTGGATCTCCAGCACAGGGATGCGCCCGGCTTCCTTCCTCATCTGCTCCACCCAGCGCTCGGCCAGGCCCAGGTACGCCTGGAGGTGATGCCGGGTGACAGCCAGGCGCAGCAGGCAGAGGCCAACGATGCTCCAGAGGCGCACGGTGTTGTAGGCAGAGTCCGACATGCTGGGCCGAGAGCAAGGGGCTGTCAGGGGGATGTGGGGTCCAGAACCTCCCTGCGCCCCAGAGGGTGTCTGATGGCAGAGGTGTTAGTGGGGAGGATGGGGGGTTATTGGTGTTGGAGGAGGTGACCTGGGCACCCGTGCCTCAGTTTCCCCTCGACACAAGGATGCTGGGGCACTGCTGGCCCTGCTGCTGCTGCCACACTTACATCTGCACTGTCTGCTTGCCCATGGGCGCGTGGAGGAGGAAGTCCCGTGAGATGGGCTTGATCCACATCACCACCACCAGGACGGGCGCCAGGAAACTCCCGTGGAGCAGGACCCTGCAGCGAAGCCATCCCTGACCCCGTGCAGCCACTCCCCCTCTCCCTCCATCCCTCCGCAGACAGGGACTGGTCCTCACCCGTGGCTCCTCCACCCTCTCCCATCACCAAACCTCCGTGCTCTGCAGCCACAGGGCTGGGGGGCTCCCAGCACTGACACACCCCCCCCCCCAGTTCCTTCCCCACCCGCAGCTTTCACCCACTGGGTCAGGGGCTTGTCGGCCGCCATCCGGAGGGCGTCGAGGTGCGTCTGGGCCAGGCGCAGCCCTGGGAAGGTCAGGCAGGCGCCCAGGAAGGAGCACAGGGCCACCAGCCCCAGCTTGAAGGCCAGCTTGGCAACGGGCAGCCTGCAGAGGGAGGGGGTAATGCAGGAGTGACCCCAGCACCTCCAAATAACCTCCTGGAAACCCCATTTCCCCATCAACTCACGTCCACTCCCAGCCCCGCTGCTTCAGGATGCTCTCCAGGTTGGTGCTGACTCCAGCCAGCGCTGCAGGGAGTGACCCCCATGAGTGGGGTGTCCCCAGCCCCGCAGTGCCCGCCCGCCTCTCCCCAGCCCCTCTCACCCACCGGGCTCCAGGCCAAACTCCAGGTAGTCCTCACGGATCACCAGGGCCACCATGGCGAGGAGGAGGAAGAAGAAGGCGAAGGTGAGGCAGACGGAGCGCTCGCCCCCCTCCTCTGAGCGGAAGTAATGGCGCATCACCATGAAGAAGACCTTGCTGTGCGTGAGGGGAGGATGTCAAGGAAACCAGGAGCTTCAGGACCAACACCAGCAGGACCCCCTGCTCATTAGCACATCACAGAGCATCTGCATCGTTCGGCCAGTGCCACCTTCCCTGCAGGGGGGTTCTCATTGGGCACCTTTACAGCTCATCACTGAGTGCTTTGTAAATCCATATATTGAAGTTTTCCATCTCAACTGGCTCTTAATGGGGAAAAGCCGAGGTTAGGGAGTTCCCTCTCCTGCCACCAGCAGCCTGGAGCTGGCGGGTGCTGACAATCACACCCCAAAAGTCACAACAAGGATACATGGAGAAGACAACCGTCAGCAGGGACCAGAGCACCCCGATGTTCATCTCCTTCTGGGGGTCCACCAGGCAGTAGTAGCCCTCGGTGAAGGCGTACACGGCGGTGGAGTACACAGCGAAGTCCACGAACCACTGGTAGTCCAGGAAATAACGCAGCACTGTGTGGCAGAGGGACACATCACCGTGCTGCAGGGAGCCAGGGCAGCGCAGAGGGACCAGTGGGGGCACAGGGGGGGTACCAAGAGCATCCACAGCAGTGATGGGGCTGGTGTCCAGGTGGAGGTCGATGTCCCGGGGCACGGAGAGGGGTTTGTCCTCCATCATGCCGTTCATCCTCCTGCAAGGGAAACCATCAAGGAGCTGGCTTATCCCTTGTGTCCCACGGTGCCGAAAGGCTATTGCGTGGTGGCACATCCCCAGCTTGGGGCTCCTTGTCACCAGCCCCAAGCCCGCATGAGGCTGCCGCTGCCCGGGGACCCCTGCAGCCCCGGGGTGACTTCCATCACCACCACAACTGATAGGAGCTGTTGCAGAGCCCCGCGCTGCACTGACCTGTCCCGCTTGGCCTTGGGGCGCTGCTTCCCTGCCAGGGCGCAGAGCTCCTCATCCGAGGGGTGCTTGTACCGGTGCAGGCTGGAAGGGAGCAGGGGGAGTCAGCGGGGGCCCCCCGGTGAGGAGCAGGGAGGGATGGGATGGACGGGACGGGACGGGCGCGCCAGGTACCTGCCGTTGCAGAGCAGCCAGCGAGCGAAGGACCAGTGCGGGACCATCTTCTGCATGAGGCTGGCGGCCAGCAGGGTCACCACCACCTGCACCCCCATCACCGCCTGCCCGGGCACACCCGCACGGCTTGACCCGGCACTGGGGCCTCCCCCAGCCCCGGTCCCTGCCATGGGACAGCCCCGGCCCCGCAACCCCCGGCCCCGCTCTCACCATGCTGGGGTCAGGGCAAAGGCGGCCGCAGGAAGCGTGCCCGCCGCCGCCGCCCCCCGCCGGCCAATCAGCGGCCGCTCTCCCTCTGATTGACAGCTGATAGACCAATGGAAAGGCAGAACCGGAGGGTGGGCGGGCACTCCGCGGAGCCCGGTTCCGCTGGCGGTGCCTCCTGGGAGCTGTGGTTCCCGCACGGCTCCCGGGCCGCGGGTTCGAGTCCCGGCTGCGCTGCCCCAGCGGGGCCTCCCCATCGGGTATTGTCATAAATCATATCTGTGCATCGTACACATGATACCGTATATATCGTATGGTCTAAACGCCCTGTGCGCCTCCAAACCCGCTGTGTCACTCCTCTCCTTAGCTGGGCAGGGGAGAGAAAATACAAGGAAAGGCTCCCAGGTCTAGCTAAGGGCACTCAGCAGTTACCGACTTGGGGAAATCAGTTTAATTTATAGAGGAGGATAATGAGAAACAAAATCAAATCTTGGGACCCTTTCCCCTCGTCCTTCCCTATTTCCCTGGCTCAGCTTCACTCCCAAAGTCTCCATTGCCAGCTATGTAGAGGGACAGGGTTAGGGTTAGGGTTAGGGTTAGGGTTAGGGTTAGGGTTTGTGATCAATTCATCACACGCTGTCTCTGCTGCTCCTTCCTCCTCAGGTGAGGGCTCCTCACACTCCTCCTCTGTTCCCATCCACAGGGCTGCTTCTCTCACATGGTCTCACTTTCGTTTTCCACTGCAGGTTTTCTTCCCTTATCTTAGCTCTGTTATCCCAGAGGTGCTGCCACCAGCACTGTCAGGCTCAGCCTTGGCCAGTGATGGGTACTTCTTGGAGCTGGCTGCACTGGCCCTATCATAAGCCATCCCTGTAGCTCCCCATGGCCACAACCTTAATACAACCCCTCCGTGTATATGTGCACACACATGGGGCTGGTTTGCATCTGAAGGGCCCCAGGGGCTGAGGCTCTATGGCACCCATCCCTGCACGCAGCCCCCGGGCATTGCATCTGGGGGGCAAAGGAGGGCACAGGGGTTTGAGTGTCAGCAGCTTGATCCCTGTGGCCTCCCCACCCTCCTCTACCCAGGGCTCAGGACTGGCTGAACCAGGCTCATCCTTTGCATGTTGCCATGGGGCAGGCTGTAGCCATCTCTCTTGCCATGTCCTTTTGCCCACATCTTCTTTGTGAGACTAACCAGCTTCCCTCCTGCTTGTATCCCCCCGTTGATGCACCTCCCTGTGAGCACTGGAGGAGCTGGACATGGACCAGGTCTGGGCAGAGCCCACTGGGTGCAGCTCATCCTGACACCCACATCACTGCGGGGGGCTGCAGGCGTTTTGGCTGAGCTCAGGGCTATTTAGGGCTGTGGCAGCCCTGTGAGCAGCTCACACTGATGGGGGGCTCTGCGGGTGCTGGTGGGGGCCCCTGGTCCAGGCAGGGTGGTGCTGGCCCCGAGGGGTTGCCATGGATATCCATCTCCCAGGTGACGGGATGCGCTTCCCACTAGATGTCGCTTCCGCCCATGCCCCGAGCATCCCCTGAGTTGGGGTACCCAGGCTTGGGGTACCACGTCCCTTCCGCTGCCAGGCACCCCCAGCACTGCCTGGGCAAGCAGCCCCCATGGTGTCTCTCATGCCAACAGCACCCAGGAGCCAAAGGGGGGTTGAACTCGGGCTGTGATGCTGAAAAACCCCTGCAGTTCCCTGAGAGCTGCCCGGTCCTGGCTGCCGAGTGCCCCCAGCTCCTTGCCAAGCCGGGATCAGGGAAGCAGCCCTCTCCATCACCTCCACTGCCTGTGTCCTGCCACCCCCAGGACCCTCAGACCCCCCCAGTCCTTGCTGTGGGTCTGCATGAACTGGTTGCTCTGCCTCTCTGGAACGAATGCAGGGCCTCAGGATCCTCGCAGCCCCCACGGCGTCGGCTTTCAGACACAAAACAAGGAGGGAAAGGTGGAAGATGGATGCTCGGAGCACCCCCAGCCCCGCCGCCCTCCCCCAGGACACAAAAGCCCCTTTGAGGGCTGATTTTACACCGCTCCTGCCGCGATGCCCGAATTAGCATCAGCAAAGGGAGCTGCCGCGACGGCGGTGTCGGTGCTGCAGGAAAGATGTGCAGTGAACAGGGACCCCCGGTCCCACACCCAGCGAGGGGGTGCCAGGCCCAGAACAGCCCCCACATGCACCAGGGGGGACGTCTCCTCGAAGGGCCGGGGCTTGGCATCCACGTGGCACCCTCCAAGCCATTCCTGCATCCAGGGCACCTCCGGAGGACCACGGCCAAGGATGCTCCTGGGGCCTTGCCACCTCCTGGGCGCTGCTGGAGGCAGCTGCATGCCAGGAGCCAGCCTGTGCCCATTCCCCCCCTATGAGTTTCCCATTCTGCACAAAGGCGCCGGGCATTGTCCGGGCTGCATCGCATTACCCAGGGCTCCCGGAGAAATCACTTGTATTTCATGCTCCATTGAGCAGCTGCCTGTATATATTTTCTGTGTTGCACTTTTAGCATGACAAAAGGAGAGGGCCTGTGAACTCCTTGCTCTTCAGACCTCTCCGACACATCCCCTGAGCGGAGCCCCCCTCGGTTAGCATAACAAACTGCCACGCTCCCTCCAGAACGTGCTCCGGCTCCTTCCCAGCCTTTTCCCGCCGGGAATTTAATGTAGGGCTCAATATTTGGGTGTCTGGGCCGGTGGCGGGCGGGCGAGCACGTGCGGGGGGTTCGGAGCAGGGCTTTGGGGAGGTCCCTCCCATGCACCCATGGGCCCAGCCCCACGGCACCCACACTGTGTTTAAGCGGTGTCTGCTTCCCCAGGAACACCTTTGTGCCTCCTGGGTCTGTGTTTTTCCCACCCTATCCCACCCAGCAGGGTCCCCACCCCACCATGGACCAGCAAAGTGGGGCCGGACCCAGTCCTCAGGCGTGGGGTGGGAATGAGGAGAGGCAGGAGCGAGGGTAAGGTGAGAGGTGCCTGTTCCCACACTGGCCAAACCCCAGCTCCTGCCTCCCCCCAGCCCAATGGGGCAGGACATGGTCCCCTCCAGGGCTGGGACCCCTGGGGCATCCCTCGCCTCCTGCCGCAGGGAAGGAGAGGGCTGGGGAGACACAAGCAGGAAGGAAACAGCCCCAGACACTGGGGTCTCGCAGGGGTTTGGGGGGTCCTGAAAGGAAAAGGCTGAGGCTCTGCTCAAACACCAGCAGCACGAGGGAGACCAGGCCAGGGGCTTGCAACACCTTTAATGCACAGGAGCTTTTCCTCCTCTCCTTGGGCTGCAGACCTCCCTTTGCATTGGGCTTGGCAGCAGCATCTCTGTATCCTTCCAGCTTCTTGGGGTGTGATCCTGTGGTCCATGCCCCCGTTTGGCAGTGGGGCAGGGGATCCCCTGGGCACATCTGGCTCCAGCCTTGGGTATATGGGAAAGGAGGGAGCCAACCCTTACCCTGGGCATGGGAAGGGCACCCGCAGGGATCCTGCCCATGCTTCCAACAGAGCCTTGGCTTTTCTGCATCCTCTCTGGGTCACCCGGACCCCACAGCATCCGCTCATGGCACCTGTTAATGGGAGAAACTGGTGTGAGCCCAGCCCCAGCCTGCTGAGCCCCAGGGCTGGGAGGTGCCTGCGTCACCCTCCTGCCAGCTCCTGGTCCCGCGGGGTCCCCACATCCCACCCCATTCCCACAGGGTGCCTGAACCCATCCTCACCAAGACCCTCATGGGCCATTGCTCTTCACTCACATCCTTGCTGCTGCTGGTTGCTTCGGGTGGTCCCGGTGCCCCATCTGTGGGGTGCCTGTGGATGGACATAGGTGTTGTTACTGTGCCTGCATGGGGCTACCACAGAGCATCACCCCTTCCCTCATCCCAGCCTCTGCCTGCATTTTCCCCACCTCCCCATGGCTGCACCCCCCCACACACACCCTGAGCCTTTCCTTTATGGAGCTTTGCAGGGCCTGAGCCCGAATTCTCTCATTAATTGCCCAGTCGGGCATCCTTGTGTTCTCCCTTCACGTTCAGCCTTCACTGTTGCTTTATGGGGTGCTAAAGCTGTGCTGACAAGCGCTGCATGGCATAAATCCCATCGAAGTGCCTGCTCCTGCTGCTCACCCAGCACCGATTCCCTGCAGCGGCTCCATCAGCTCAGGTCCAGCTCCTGCTATGGCCTGGTTTTGCCAGGTCCTGGCTGGGCTCTTCCTCAGGGATGCTGCTGGAGGGGTCCCCTGCATGGACAGGCTCCCTGTAAACCCAACCTTTCCCACCACAATCCCATCGAACTCTTTCCCTGCACTGACAATACCACATCTGTGCCACATCCCAAAGGAATGGGAAGGGTTTGATCCTGCTGCAGCACACAGTGTACATTTAATAAACTCTGGTGTGTTTTGGGCCAGGAAAACCAGGATTTCTTCATCGAAATGCTCTACTCTCTTTTCCCTCATGAGCTGACCAAGGCCTGTGGTTCCCGGGGCAAAAAGCATCCTGTTCAGATGCTCATCCCGACCTTTGCCAGGGCACAGCAGGAGCCACTGGTGTCTTCTCCCTCCTCCAACATGGGGGAAGACCATGAGTGACCATGGGCAATGTGCGGGCTCAGCCCCGCTGGGGGGGAATAACCCCCATGGGATGTGGCCCTAAGGGAGGAATCCGGCTGCCTGGTGTCCTGTGCTCCCTCCTGCCACCGGGCTCCCAACAGCTCCAGTGTCCAGGCAGGGAATCCCTTTCCATACATTTCCATAGGGATTCATTTCAACCCTTCTCCAGCAGCACGGTGGAGGCAAACGTGTGTGTGCTGAGCCTGGTTTGGGAGAGCTGGGGAGAGGAGGAGGATGGGGGGCACCCCACAGCCCCATCCACCCTCGCTGCCCTTCATCCCATCACCTCCAGCTTCAGGAAGGTTTTGGGCCCCTCATTGAGGTCCTTGCTGCCAGAGATGCTGAT